TGAGGATATTTAATAGTTAAAAATTTTTGTTCACATCCATTAAAGCATTTAATTTTCATAATCCCGGGGGGAGGGCTTCATTGTATTCATTTTTCAGATAAGGCAGTTGGGTTCTCAGAGAGTTTAAGTGATTTTCCTGAGATCACACAGCCAGGAAATGGCAGATCCAGGAAATGGAACCCAGTCTTTTTTTAACTTAAAGTCCAGAGCCTTTTTTTTTTTTTAACTCTGCAGCACCTTCAAATGTCACTACTCTGCCAGCAATGGTGGAGGCAATATTTCAAGGCTAAACTTCCCCAGAACATCTGTAATTTATACAGGAGCAGGAACCATCTTTTGCCCTTAATATCTTATATCCTCCCTTCACTCCAACCCTGTGCCAATTGGGGTAGCTAGACATATTTTTTTCCATGATGGATGAATTAAAAGTGAGTGGCTAAAACTAAGATTATTGCCTGTCAGCCTCCATTCTAAGCACTTTAAAAACAATAACGCCTCTATTACTCACATTAACCTATAAAGTAGAGCTTTTATTATTCCCATTTTACAGATGAGAAAATTGAGTTCCATTAGGTAACTGGCCTAAAGAACTAGGAAATGGCTGAACCAGAATGAAAACCCAAGTGGTTTGATACCATGTTCCCAGCCACTACTCAACAATTGCCCTGAAAGGCAACTATTTGCTGAGCTCTGTGACCCTCCTTAGGGTCTGGGTGGCCATGTTCTTACAACCTAAATTCTACTTGGAAAGAACTTTGGGTTGTTGCTTCATTTGAAGTTTCTGGAATTACTCTTTAACCTCAAACATAGAGGATAACCGAGCCACCTCGGTGTGAAAGAAATGCCCTGCTCGGGCAACACACGCAATGACGTGGGGCACCCGTCTGTGCCAGCACTAGCGAGGCTGGCAGGGAGCACGAGCCCGGCCCCAGGAGGCCAAGTGCAAACGACCCAGAAATGTGCTGTGACTGTGCTTCTCATTGTTCCCTCGGTGTTCTCTCCGGTCTCGCCCGCCCTCCCTCGCACCACGTGAATAAGGAATTGTCATTTCTCGCCGAGGCAGCTACATTTAACCAGTGGATAAACGTAAGTACCTTTGTTGGGATTTAGGATTGGGGATGTACATAATTTTGTACAGTTGGAATGAATGTAACAGAAAACTGAAAATGCAGCTCTTAAGGAGGGAAGGCTATTGTCTTGAGCAGTGATTCTCAACCCTGACTGCATTTTAGAACCGCATGGAGCACATTTTTAAAATACTCCTACCTGGGCCCACCATTACCACCCCCACACCCCGCAGCCACACACACACACACACACACACACACACACACACCCCCGCCCCCGAACGCTCTGATTTGATTGGCCAGAGCAATCCGCTCTGGACATCCGTGTATTATAAAAGCTTCCCGGGTGACTCTAACATGCAACCAAGGCTGAGAACTTCTGGTCTAGGATAAGCCGGGGTGGTCAACTTTTCAACCGATTCAAATATATATGTATAGTGTCATTCATCACAGAGGTCTTTGGGGGTTTTTTTAGGTTGACATAATTCATCATTGTAATTCACCAAGTTAGATTCGGGATTTATAGCTGCAATCTGGGATACTTCATATGTGCTTAACTCTCAGCCCAACGGGCCCAGAAACACTTATCCCTCACCCTGGAAAGTATCATGACAAAAATCCAATCCACATCCTACCCTGTTGTCTCCATCTCTGTCCTCTTTGACTGAATGGACCAAGGCAGCCGGCCCAGCCAGCCATAGCAACAAATGGTTTATCCCATTTAAATAGATGCGTGTCAAAATAGGCCATGCCTGGGGAGCACCCGCCCCAGGACAGCTCCCTATTGCCATATGGGGCCTCTTTGAACCCCCATCCCCCACGTGCAAGAGAAGAGACTAAGCGCCCCCTCTCGGGCACGCTGATTTTCATAAAGACAGACCATGCTTGGTCTCACCCACGGGCAGAAGCTCGCCCAGTGGTGTGCGGGTCCCGGCGCATCCCAGCTCCCAAGAGCTGACTGCGCAC